GTTAGCTACAAACTACCCTCTAACACAGATCAGGCTTATTTTTTTTTACTGACATTACAAATCTTTCGCAAAAAAAGTTAAACGCATCTTAATGGGAATTAAATTGTCGTAAAGTTTTAAGAAATGAAAATCATACAATGCAATTATTAAACCTTGTCCGGACTGTAGCACACACGCTTACACACGCTTACACACACAAATACACTCTTACCCACACACAAGCTTATATATAAACACACTATCACACACACATAATTATACACACACACACATGTATATATATATATATATATATATATATATATATATATATATATATATATATATATATATATATATATATATATATATATATATAAGCGGGGGGGGGGGGCGCCAAATTGAAAGTTCGCCCCGGGCGCCGGGAAGGGTCGCTACGCCTCTGCCACTGTCTGTAATCTAGCTCCAAGCCATACAGTAAAAGAGACCACATTTAGTTATAGATCCTGATTGAATTTTTTTGACAATGCATTTGAATTCCATATTTTCTTAGAGTGTTAAAACGCGTTTTATTGCTGCTGATTATAATCAGAACGTCATGGGCTATCATTAAATTGATTGTTACTGCTTCTTCAATCAATACAATTAGTTCTGCATTTGTTGTTAACGTTGTGCGAGCAGTGTTTCTTCCAGACTTTTTTCTCCGGGGGGGGGGGGGGGCACTTGAAATTATCGGGGGGGGGGGGGGCGGTAGACTTTCTTTGGGGGGGGGGCGGACACTGTTAAAAGTATATATTTTCTATATATAAATTATATAAATTTCATTTCGTTCAAGGGGGCGGTAAAAATTTTTCGGGGGCTTCGCCCCCCCCCCCCGAAGAGATGCCTGGAAGAAACTCTGTGTGCGAGAAGGCAGGGCAAATCTGCGAAATCCAAGACTACGAGCTGTTAACATCCGTTGGATTCCAGTTTGTTTTCTCTAGCTTGTTTTGTCATACCATCAACCAATCAACGAAATACCGATGTCGTATTCCAATGTGAACAATAAATATTTCTGATAACTTCTTCTTGTATGTCACTTGTGTGTCCTTACTCTAACAAACTTCGAATCCAACTATGTACCATATCACAACAGAGATCGTTCCAAAACTAGAACATAAAAGGCTGGTCTAAACATATTAGCGTTAGCTACAAACTACCCTCTAACACAGATCAGGACACAGATCAGGCTTATTTTTTTTTACTGACATTACAAATCTTTCGCAAAAAAAGTTAAACGCATCTTAATGGGAATTAAATTGTCGTAAAGTTTTAAGAAATGAAAATCATACAATGCAATTATTAAACCTTGTCCGGACTGTAGCACACACGCTTACACACACGCTTACACACACAAATACACTCTTACCCACACACAAGCTTATATATAAACACACTATCACACACACATAATTATACACACACACACACATGTATATATATATATATATATATATATATATATATATATATATATATATATATATATAAGCGGGGGGGGGGGGGGGGGGGCGCCAAATTGAAAGTTCGCCCCGGGCGCCGGGAAGGGTCGCTACGCCTCTGCCACTGTCTGTAATCTAGCTCCAAGCCATACAGTAAAAGAGACCACATTTAGTTATAGATCCTGATTGAATTTTTTTGACAATGCATTTGAATTCCATATTTTCTTAGAGTGTTAAAACGCGTTTTATTGCTGCTGATTATAATCAGAACGTCATGGGCTATCATTAAATTGATTGTTACTGCTTCTTCAATCAATACAATTAGTTCTGCATTTGTTGTTAACGTTGTGCGAGCAGTGTTTCTTCCAGACTTTTTTCTCCGGGGGGGGGGGGGGCACTTGAAATTATCGGGGGGGGGGCGGTAGACTTTCTTTGGGGGGGGGGGGGCGGACACTGTTAAAAGTATATATTTTCTATATATAAATTATATAAATTTCATTTCGTTCAAGGGGGCGGTAAAAATTTTTCGGGGGCTTCGCCCCCCCCCCCCCCCCCCGAAGAGATGCCTGGAAGAAACTCTGTGTGCGAGAAGGCAGGGCAAATCTGCGAAATCCAAGACTACGAGCTGTTAACATCCGTTGGATTCCAGTTTGTTTTCTCTAGCTTGTTTTGTCATACCATCAACCAATCAACGAAATACCGATGTCGTATTCCAATGTGAACAATAAATATTTCTGATAACTTCTTCTTGTATGTCACTTGTGTGTCCTTACTCTAACAAACTTCGAATCCAACTATGTACCATATCACAACAGAGATCGTTCCAAAACTAGAACATAAAAGGCTGGTCTAAACATATTAGCGTTAGCTACAAACTACCCTCTAACACAGATCAGGCTTATTTTTTTTTACTGACATTACAAATCTTTCGCAAAAAAAGTTAAACGCATCTTAATGGGAATTAAATTGTCGTAAAGTTTTAAGAAATGAAAATCATACAATGCAATTATTAAACCTTGTCCGGACTGTAGCACACACGCTTACACACACGCTTACACACACAAATACACTCTTACCCACACACAAGCTTATATATAAACACACTATCACACACACATAATTATACACACACACACACATGTATATATATATATATATATATATATATATATATATATATATATATATATATATATATATATATATATATATATATATATATATAAGCGGGGGGGGGGGGGGCGCCAAATTGAAAGTTCGCCCCGGGCGCCGGGAAGGGTCGCTACGCCTCTGCACTAATGGTAAAACAAACACACTATTTCAATTCAATTGGCTGATATTCTAATCGCCTCTTAATGTAGACAAGCGCGAAGCAATAGTTGATCAAGTTTGTTACACATAAAATGTATTATTTCAAAGAGTGTAGTAAGTTTGTCATTAATTTAGATTCATTCAAATTACATGCGTTTTATTGTTTTAAATGTTATATAAATTGTATAAATTTTTAAAAAAATGTCGACACATAGGCCTATTCAGTTTTTATGGTTGTTGGTTAATACTAAATAAGCAACTATAGCTACAATACAGTTCAGTGTTACCACCAATGTAGTTAGTACTGCGACCGTTATGTTGGTGACTTCAAAGATTTATTTGATGTTAAAAGACATTTCTGAAAAGAAAATTGATATTTTACCCTAGATTTAACACAGTCAGCAGAATGTACTGTTATGTGTTAAAGTCGCTGGATGTTTTATATAAGAAAACTTGCAATGTTAGATCGTGTATTGATTCTTCTGTCATCATTGATTTTACATAACTCTTTACATAACAACACACATAACGTTTGCGTGTGTTACACGCTAGAGAAATGTATTAGCATCAGGCAAGCTTGTGAAAAGTAGAGAGCCATTTTCTTTCAAACAAGGAATGTTAACACTTTCAAGCCCATGATGTCTTGGTAGAAGGTTCAAATTCCGGATTTCTGCATGATTTCTGGAGCTCTGCGTAATGCAGTGGGTGCCACTTACTATGGTGCAAGCTGAGGCAGCCCCCTCCTGCAACATTTCACTTCACACCATTGACTCACCAAATCTAGAAACACGGGTCAAGGTCATTTAAAAAACGGTAGCATAACAACACGTCGACTTGACTGGATTACCAATGTCCCTGGACAGAAGGAAGTGGTTTTTAATTTTAGGCCAAACCTCCTTTTCTTTAGGGTCAGCCATTCCACGTTAGTCGTGCAAACCACCCCATTCCCTAGTAGTACGTTGCACCGACAATAAGGGTTGTGACTCGACCAGTAGGTAGACAATAGCGTATGACAAGTTGACCAGCACCCTATTACTCACACATCGGCTAGTGGTGTCGTGAGCGTGTTGTCGCGGGGCTATCCCGTACATAGAGCGGAATGAAAGATTTTTGCTATCTTGAAAGACATGTTAACGACCTGCGAACCCGCGACGAACTAATTCATTTGACAACCTTATCTCTTAGTGTTAAGTGTTAGGCCTAGTCAGTACTAGACATAAGAGAACATCAGAACTTAGTTCAATTTTCAACACTGAGTGCCCAGCCTTCATTTTTAGCTTACTAGAATATAGGTTTAGTAAGGTTTAACCAAACTAAATTATTTTTTTTACTTTTTAGTGCATTTGTACATTTGTGATTTTTCGTGTGCGATTTGTGACTTTAATAAAAACCGTTTTCATTAAAATAAGTATTTTTTATGTGTGTTTTTTTTCTTCACTGCTTTGGAAGGGATTAAGTATGCGTCATATGAGCCATTGACTCCGATTTCAGCCTGCTTTTATTTTTGGATTTGCTTCCATAGCCCTTTTCCAACAAAGAACACAAGACAGCAGTTGTTTGATTTTAGCCTCATCTGCCCAGGGGTTCGAACTCGGGACTTTTTCGGCTCAACCAAGAACTTAACCGACCCGACCACACACACCTTCTGCGTTCGAGATAATTATTAAATAATTTCCCGCGTTATTGATAATCGTAACTAAATCTACAGGCAATTCTCTTGGTGAACATTGTTGTTCTGGATGCTGCAACCCGGAGTGTTTGTTGTTTAAGCACAAAATGACACACGTCCACCGTCGCCAACAGCTGTAATTTAACGTAAAAGAAATAATGATTTTGGGGGCTAATGGGGAGGGGGGAGGTTATATTCACCCCTACCCCTCCGCCTACGCCACTGCCTTCAATATAAACATATTGAAAACAAAGAAGTAGATATCTTCAATATTTAACGTATCAATCAAATGTTCCGATTTATTAAAATTTAGATTTTACACTATCTTATACGGCATTTATGTTCTTAAATAAAACAGAATTACGACTTAAAACTTTTGCAACTTTTCGAATTAAAGAATATTTAACAATATATGGTGGGCGCTACAGCATTTAAAAAAAAGAACAATAAGACTTATGTAAAAAAGAACAATAAGACTTATGTGGTACTTTACTGTTCAAAAAGAATTTTTAAAAAATATGCTTTTTATTTTATGAAACCTATTTAATTAGCATATTTTAATTAATTACAAATGATTAAATTCCACATATTTTCTCCCAGTCCGTCCGGCAAATATATTAAAGGTTCAGTACTTCGGGAGAAAGGTCTTTAGGGTTTCTAGTCTTTTTCGAGCAGGCAGTCCAAAAACTGTGTCCGATAATGAGACAATTTAAACGCTAAATCTGGTGATAGAGGGTCCATAAAGCTGCACGATCTCTACCGTTGTCAAAGGCAGGGCGTAGGTCATGTTACAGCACAAAGCCTCGTTGACGTAGACTAGGAACCTGTCCACTGTGGCCAGAACAAAGATTCGGAGACTCTGGTTCAGCGGGGAGATGGACATGGTCGTCTTTTTAGGCGAGCTCCAGACAGTCTTGACTCTGGAATACAGCAGGACGTCGAGAGAATCTGTGGTACTGACCGGCAGGAACCTGGCGTTGAGGTGGATGTCTTTGCAGGAAATGTTGAGACAGATGAAGAGCCTTGTGGTGTCGCTGTAGGTCGCAGGAGTCACGGTTGCATGTACCTAAGATAAACAAGACATTAAACAGCACATTTGGAATCAAACTATGTGATCTTAAATCTAGATTGGCCATGTTATAATTATGTATGCCTTTTCATAGATGGGCCCTTTGAAAACAGCTGGCTCTGATGGGATAGCCTGCCCTGATGGGACTTGGTTAGAGATGATGGGCCTAGAGTGCATCAAGCTCTGATAATTAAAGCTGAACATGGTCGCTGTTATACAGTTAACACTGATGGGCCTTGCCACAAGAATGTGGGCTTTCTTAAAAACACCTAGACTCTAGCTATGATGCAATTTTTTTTGTTTTATGTTTTTAATCAATATATTTTTTAAAAAAAATGATTAGTGTTCTAGCTTTATCTTTTTTTTCCAATGTAAATAAAATAAGTACGGAGACACAAAAGCTTGGAATTCGATTTTGGGATATTTAGATTTGGCCCAGCTAGAATTCTTAAGACACGATAGATCGCGCCACACGGGATATTCATGATTTAGTTGTAGATGTAGATGTAGATGTAGATGTAGATGTAGATGTAGATGTAGATGTAGATGTAGATGTAGATGTAGATGTAGATGTAGATGTAGATGTAGATGTAGATGTAGATGTAGATGTAGATGTAGATGTAGATGTAGATGTAGATGTAGATGTAGATGTAGATGTAGATGTAGATGTAGATGTAGATGTAGATGTAGATGTAGATGTAGATGTAGATGTAGATGTAGATGTAGATGTAGATGTAGATGTAGATGTAGATGTAGATGTAGATGTAGATGTAGATGTAGATGTAGATGTAGATGTAGATGTAGATGTAGATGTAGATGTAGATGTAGATGTAGATGTAGATGTAGATGTAGATGTAGATGTAGATGTAGATGTAGATGTAGATGTAGATGTAGATGTAGATGTAGATGTAGATGTAGATGTAGATGTAGATGTAGATGTAGATGTAGATGTAGATGTAGATGTAGATGTAGATGTAGATGTAGATGTAGATGTAGATGTAGATGTAGATGTAGATGTAGATGTAGATGTAGATGTAGATGTAGATGTAGATGTAGATGTAGATGTAGATGTAGATGTAGATGTAGATGTAGATGTAGATGTAGATGTAGATGTAGATGTAGATGTAGATGTAGATGTAGATGTAGATGTAGATGTAGATGTAGATGTAGATGTAGATGTAGATGTAGATGTAGATGTAGATGTAGATGTAGATGTAGATGTAGATGTAGATGTAGATGTAGATGTAGATGTAGATGTAGATGTAGATGTAGATGTAGATGTAGATGTAGATGTAGATGTAGATGTAGATGTAGATGTAGATGTAGATGTAGATGTAGATGTAGATGTAGATGTAGATGTAGATGTAGATGTAGATGTACTCTAGAAATACCTGAATCATTCTGACTTACCACAGAGCCGTTTAGTAAACTTGTAAGATTTCCAAAATAAAGACCAGACGTAAAGTTCTGGGCAGGAGTAGCCCTTCGTAAGAAAAATACCGAGTCTTGGGAATTAAAGCTGAGAGACGTCGCTTCCTTACCAGTGCACCAGTAGCACAGGTGATCAGCCCACCTGTAGATGTAGGTGTAACGGGCTTTCCAGGCTAAATATGTTCTAGCACAGTTCAACACTGAATACACCTTTTCTACCTTGGATGCGTTCGGATAACATCCACCTAGACTCACACCTCGGAAATCGTCGATCAAGGCGCTGCATTGTGATTCTCCCCCGAACAGACTGTAACAGGAGCTAATGTTCAAGGTCAAGGTTGGGGCTGCTACAGTTAAAACCAGAACACAAACTGTCACAAACATGTTTGTGAAATACCAGGTTCCTACTGGCATGTCGCTCGCACAGTGCTGCCACCAAAGGCTATCCCAGCACTGACCTTTCTCTGAAACGTCCTATAAATAGATATCAATCCCACCAATGGGAAAGAGCTTAGCGAGTTTTTTAAAAAACGTGAGAGCTAGTTTATTGATATTTCAGATTTGCTTTAGCCGCTCCAATTATTATTCCCGGTTGTGTTCGATAAAAAAAATGTCTATTGAAATGGAACTGAGTTTGATACGATGTAAAACCTGAGAGACGCTCAGATTCATTGATTGTTTAACTCGAAAGAATTTTTCGTTTCTCTTTAATTGGGGAAAATAAAATCATAAAAAGCGATCAATAGTTCGATATCTTAGTCACGTAGATCAGTATTGGAGTCCAACAAGTACATTACATTACATGCTACAACACAGACAGCGGCAGCTCATGTAGATTTTCAAAGGTGTGAACATTTAAAATGTAGTATCTTACATATATGTAAGATATACATCTATGAACATATATGGAGGGAATAGGGGTGGGTGAGGGTAGAGGAGGTGGAAGTTAAAATGTGACTTCCTTTATATATTGTGTTTAGTTTTTTATTTATTTTTTAAATCACTTCAACCCTATTATTTTAACTATCCCAAGGCCAGAGATATCCCAAGGCTAGAGATATCACAAGATTAGGGATATCCCAAGGCTAGAGATATCCCATGGCAAACAGAATAGTTCTCAAAATATCTTACAATCGAAATATTTTATTAAGAAAACTTCGCACAATTTTAAGTCCAAAAATACTAATCAATCTAAATAAATACTGCAATACTGAAAACTAACAAGTATAACGAACATACCCGCTCAGATCATCACATCATTAGTTGCATGTCCAGAGATTATCTAATAGGGGAGTATATTAATGCACAATGTAATCAATTGGAATTTGTAATCAATAATGACCAGAACATATTAAACAGTTTATTAATGGGCATCGTATTATAATTAATTTTGCTTCTGCTTTTATTGTATTGTGCGCAATTAATTAAGCTACTTATATACCTCAGATGGGGACCAAAGAAAATGTTCTCACATACTATCGCAATCCCTTCCCAAATCCCCCATCTCCCCATCCATCTACCCCATCCATCTACCCCATCCAACATTAACCAATGCGCTCTACTTGTTTTGGCTATCTTTAATCTGATTTATTTTACTACTTGATCCCCACCCCTTACTCCATCCTATCCCCACTGTCATTGTTTTTTTGTTTTTTTTTAAATAAAGAGCCTTTTTTTTTTACTAAAAATATGTTAGCATTAGTTATTTGGATCGCTTAAATCAACGCACACGAAATTAACTGATAAGATATAGGGTTTTCTTTAATATTTTACTTTTAAACTGCTAAAGATGAACACTTCACTTTCTGAATCCAATATCCTCATCCAGCCACCACCCCGACCACCCCGACCACCCAGCCAGCCCCCACCCCGACCACCCAGCCAGCTCCCACCCCGGCCACCCAGCCAGCCCCCACCCCGACCACCCAGCCAGCCCCCACCCCGGCCACCCATCCAGCCCCCACCCCGGCCACCCATCCAGCCCCCACCCCGACCACCCAGCCAACCCCCACCCCGACCACACAGCTAGCCACCACCCCGACCACCCAGCCAGCCCACACCCCGACCACCCAGCCAGCCCCCACCCCGGCCACCCATCCAGCCCCCACCCCGGCCACCCATCCAGCCCCCACCCCGACCACTCAGCCAGCCCCCACCCAGCCAGCCCCCACCCCGACCACCCAGCTAGCCCCCACCCCGACCACCCAGCCAGCCCCCACCCCGACCACCCAGCCAGCCCCCACCCCGGCCACCCATCCAGCCCCCACCCAGCCAGCCCCCACCCCGGCCACCCAGCCAGCCCCCACCCCGGCCACCCAGCTAGCCCCCACCCCGGCCACCCAGCCAACCCCCACCCCGACCACACAGCTAGCCACCACCCCGACCACCCAGCCAGCCCACACCCCGACCACCCAGCTAGCCCCCACCCCGACCACCCAGCCAGCCCCCACCCAGCCAGCCCCCACCCCGACCACCCAGCTAGCCCCCACCCCGACCACCCAGCCAGCCCCCACCCCGACCACCCAGCCAGCCCCCACCCCGGCCACCCAGCCAGCCCCCACCCCGGCCACCCAGCCAGCCCCCACCCCGACCACCCATCCAGCCCCCACCCAGCCAGCCCCCACCCCGGCCACCCAGCCAGCCCCCACCCCCGACCACCCAGCCAGCCCCCACCCCGGCCACCCAGCCAGCCCCCACCCCGACCACCCAGCCAGCCCCCACCCCGGCCACCCATCCAGCCCCCACCCCGGCCACCCATCCAGCCCCCACCCCGGCCACCCAGCCAGCCCCCACCCCGACCACCCAGCCAACCCCCACCCAGCCAGCCCCCACCCCGACCACCCAGCCAGCCCCCACCCCGACCACCCAGCCAGCCCCCACCCCGACCACCCAGCCAGCCCCCACCCCGACCACCCAGCCAGCCCCCACCCCGACCACCCAGCTAGCCCCCACCCCGGCCACCCAGCTAGCCCCCACCCCGACCACCCAGCCAGCCCCCACCCCGACCACCCAGCTAGCCCCCACCCCGGCCACGTAGCCAGCCCCCACCCCGACCACCCAGCCAGCCCCCACCCCGGCCACCCAGCTAGCCCCCACCCAGCCAGCCCCCACCCAGCCAGCCCCCACCCTGACCACCCAGCTAGCCCCCACCCCGGCCACCCAGCCAGCCCCCACCCCGACCACCCATCCAGCCCCCACCCCGACCACCCATCCAGCCCCCACCACGGCCACCCAGCTAGCCCCCACCCAGCCAGCCCCCACCCAGCTAGCCCCCACCCCGGCCACCCAGCTAGCCCCCACCCCGACCACCCAGCCAGCCCCCACCCCGACCACCCAGCCAGCCCCCACCCCGACCACCCAGCTAGCCCCCACCCCGGCCACGTAGCCAGCCCCCACCCCGACCACCCAGCCAGCCCCCACCCCGGCCACCCAGCTAGCCCCCACCCAGCCAGCCCCCACCCCGGCCACGTAGCCAGCCCCCACCCCGACCACCCAGCCAGCCCCCACCCCGGCCACCCAGCTAGCCCCCACCCAGCCAGCCCCCACCCAGCCAGCCCCCACCCAGCCAGCCCCCACCCAGCCAGCCCCCACCCAGCCAGCCCCCACCCCGACCACCCAGCCAGCCCCCACCCCGGCCACCCAGCTAGCCCCCACCCAGCCAGCCCCCACCCAGCCAGCCCCCACCCAGCCAGCCCCCACCCAGCCAGCCCCCACCCAGCCAGCCCCCACTCAGCTAGCCCCCACCCAGCCAGCCCCCACTCAGCCAGCCCCCACCCCGGCCACCCATCCAGCCCACACCCCGACCACCCAGCTAGCCCCCACCCCGACCACCCAGCCAGCCCCCACCCCTACCACCCAGCCAGCCCCCACCCCGGCCACCCAGCCAGCCCCCATCCCGACCACCCAGCTAGCCAGTATTGTACCACCAGACCCTATCCCCATGTAAATAGAAAGTCTACAAAAACTTAACCCTAGTTAGACCACCCTCTGCTGTAGGTATTAATCAATCCGTCATATTCACCTCCTTTAAAAACGAACCACTCTTAAGGGGTTAATTAGGACGCTATTGATTGCGAGACAGGAAACGGGTTAGAATAATATGTAATTGAGAAAGTGGTACATTCACATAATGGATGCATAGAATGGGTGCTGCTTAAAACATTGTACGCATGCAGTTCATGCAGTGAAATTATTTAATGGGTTCTACGTGTCATATTTCAGAACATTCCATCGTTAAGAAGACCAAGAGATGTCAGTTCAATGAAGATGAATTTTTTGTTTAACTTGGTTAATTAAAAGCTTTTAAAAAATTTCAAATTAAACGAAAAAAAAACCGTATTAAGTAATAATAGTAAAGTTATAACTGATATATTGAGAAAAAGGCTCAATGCATGCTGATATTCGTGTACATAGTTCAAACCTATCTTTTATTATTTGGATATATAAAGCATATATGAATACGTTTTTTTAATGCTATCATTTTTTCCCAAGTGAATTGAAGCTGATTGTTATCTAACGAATCTAATTTTACTAATATTGATTTTATAAAATAACTCTCCACAAGCAGGTCATCCCATTAGCAAATTAAATCGTCTGAAAGATGTGTGAACATAATCATTGGTCACTTGACTGATCGAGTGATCGATTCATCCGATTAATTTCTTATTCTGTGATTGAATCTGACAATCATGAAAGCATTATTCAACGACTAGGTATATATTTTATTCAAACAAATCTTGTATATTATCGCATGATCATCAGAAATACACTTATATGGGCTTAACGGAGTAATAACATTTGACCTCAAACCAATTGTCAAACGCCTCTGATATATATATATATATATATATATATATATATATATATATATATATATATATATATATATATATATATATATATATATATATATATATATATATATATATATATATAATATCTCAGAAAAAATATCTCAGAAAAAATATCTCAGACAAAATATCTCACGGACAAGTGATATCAAGACAAATGATCTCAAGACAACTGATCTCAAGGACAAATGATCTCACGGAAAAAAGATACCAGGACAAAATATATCAGGACAAATGATACCATGGACAAATGATCTCAGACAAAATATCTCAGACAAAATATCATGTTTCTTTTCTCCATAAATTTGAAGCCTCAGTTTCCCCCCATACCTTGTATGTGGTATTTTGTATTTGCTGTGATCAGCAGTTTAGAAATGTTGAGCCTTATCTCCAAACGAACAAATTAACTACCAGTTTTACTGCACATCGAACCAACGAATAAATGCATGAGTGATTTTAGTTTATCGCAGTTAACGTCAGTAGGTAGAATTGTTTCTTTCTATTCTCTACTCTGTGTTACGATTGATCTTTATTACCATCTTATGTCGCTGTTAATTAAATCGCGACTTTGATGTGGCCTCTTTA